GCAGAGCCTGCAGTGGAGCCTGCGGCAGTGCCTGCAGTGGAGCCTGCGGCAGTGCAGAGCCTGCAGTGGAGCCTGCGGCAGTGCAGAGCCTGCAGTGGAGCCTGCGGCAGTGCAGAGCCTGCAGTGGAGCCTGAGGCAGTGCAGAGCCTGCAGTGGAGCCTGAGGCAGTGCAGAGCCTGCAGTGGAACCTGCGGCAGGGCAGAGCCTGCAGTGGAACCTGCAGCAGTGCAGAGCCTGCAGCAGTGCAGAGCCTGCAGTGGAGCCTGCGGCAGAGCAGTGCCTGCAGTGGAGCCTGCGGCAGTGCAGAGCCTGCAGTGGAGCCCGCGGCAGGGCAGAGCCTGCAGTGGAGCCTGCGGCAGAGCAGTGCCTGCAGTGGAGCCTGTGGCAGGGCAGAGCCTGCAGTGGAGCCCGCGGCAGGGCAGAGCCTGCGGCAGTGCAGAGCCTGCAGTGGAGCCTGCGGCAGGGCAATGCCTGCAGTGGAGCCTGCGGCAGTGACTGCACTGGTGCTTTTTACTCAGGTTTCCATGGCTACTTGGAGACTTTTTATATTTTTTTTGAATTTTTTTTCTAGTTCTACAAATTTATTTTCGGTATTCATGTTACCCACTATTCTATTGGGGCTTCAATATTCCCACCCCCCATCCCCCACCCCACACCAGGCTTTTTCTTTTGGGCAACCAACCAGCTCCCACATCATGACACAGAGACTTACTTGTTTTGAATGCTTGGCTTTGGCTTAGCTCTTTTCTTGCTAGCTCTTGTAACTTAACCTCTTTCTCTCTGTGCACCTTTGCCTCAGGGCTTCTTACGTTTTTTTACTCTCTTGCTGTCTCTGTGTCTGGCGGGCTGATGGCTGCCTGGCTTCTTGCCTCGGGCATCTCTCTCATTCTCATCTCTTCCTCCTTCTCTCTTTCCTTTCTTTCTTCTTGAGCCTAGATTTCTCCTCCTACTTATCCTCTCTGCCTGCCAGTCCCACCTATCCCTCTCCTGCCTAACTATTGGCCTACCAGCTTATTAATTATTAGACCAATCAGGTGCCTTTGGCAGGCCAGATAAAACAGATGCAACACATCTTTACACAATTAAACAAATGCAACATAAACAAAAGTAACATACCTTTACACAGTTAAAGTAATATTCTGCAGTATATCTCTTTGTCTAGTAGGTTTTGTTTTTTGTTTTTTGTTTTTGCACCCTTTCAACACTTGGGGCATATAAAATTATTGTATTTCATTCCAGTTTTCTTCGTATAGCTTTGAACATTTTTCTTATTTCTCTATCTATATCTAGACACAAATTTCATAGTTTATTGTGTTGGCAATATTTCTTTATTATTTCTCATTAAATTATCTTTTATTCTAGTTGGATATAATGTTCTTAATGATGGTGTTTAATAAATTCTCTTCTGAGTGTTAAGGGTTCCCCTAAGCCTTGTCCAGTTGCAATAATCTTGGTTTGTAGTTATTTTCTTTGAGGACTGAAATGCCTCGTTCCATGCCCTCCTAGCATGTAGAGTACCTTTTATGAAGTTTTCCACTGGCTAAGGTATTTGCTTTTAAATATCACTTGGCACTTCTCTATTTCAGAGTGTAATATTCTTTCTTAGTCCTGTACTTTTAAAAACTTGACTATAATAAATTTTAGTCAATAATTATAATAGAAAGAAAATATAAAAGAAAAATAAGAAAAGATGAAGAGCAAATGTAAAGACCACATATCAGACTCATTGGGAGAAGAGGCATAGAAAGCCTCTTTAACAAAAATAATAGCAAAGACTTTCCCCAAATCTTGGAAAATGGAAAAACCAAGTATAGGAAGCATTTAGAACCTCAAACATACATAACCATAAAAGTACTTTGCCACAACATTAATAGTAGTCCTTGCCTTGCTTTCCATGTGTCTTAGTCACTTGTTTGTTTTTTAGGATAGAGTCTCATGTAGCCAAGACGGGCCTTGAACTAACTCTGTGTCTCAGCTTGACCCAAAACTCTTGCTTCTCCTGCCTCTTTATCTCAACATGCTGAGATTGTAGGCATGCACCAAATGCACAAACTATGCTTGGTTTGTGGTGATCTTTAGTTCCTGTAATCTCAGAATTATTTACCAAGTCTTTATTGAAGTCGTTTCAGTTTCATTTCCACAGCCATGAAAATTATCTAAAGTTGACAGACCATTTCTAGGATTGAAAACTTCTAATCATTCCTCTCTTTCTGAAATTCATTCTGTTCCTTAGGAGGCCAGAAGGTGCACATATTGCCCAGCTTTAGCTTTATAACAGGAGCCCTCTTTCTTTCTTCTCATGTTATATAATAAAAGTAGGCCTCTTCTTTTTTCTTAGTATGTCGGTGGCTGGCTTGTTACAGGGAAATTGGTAATTGTCTAGTGACGTACGACTATGAATGTGCCCAGTCTTGTCTTATCTAACCCAAGCAGTGTCAGGCTGGTTAGTACTTGGGTAGGAGAAATCAATAATTTTTTTGAGTAAATGAATGCATCTAAGTGTGTGAAGAAACGAATGACCACACTGAGAAGTTTCATTGAAAATACTTGCTGTTTAGATAATGGGTTATTTAAAAATCTAACACTAACATTCAAGAACAGGTTTCCTTCCCCAGCTGATTTGGTTTCCTGTCTGGTTGCAGTACTCTTTGTCCTCTACTTGTTGTGCAGCAGTCTCTCTTGGCATTCCCAGACGCATCTTAGAAGTCATCTGGCCGGGCGGTGGTGGCGCTCGGGAGGCAGAGGCAGGTGGATCTCTGTGAGTTCGAGTCCAGCCTGGGCTACCAAGTGAGTTCCAGGAAAGGCGAAAAGCTACACAGAGAAACCCTGTCTCGAAAATTAAAAAAACAAAAAACAAAAAACAAAAAAGTCACCTGATTTCGTATGGACTCATTGCAGTCCCTCTCAGCACCGCTGTCTTCCTGTTGGCACTTGCTGTTTGACAAGACAACTTCGTCTTCTTTTGTTCGGGATTTGCCTATTTGTATTATATCTATAGAGTACTTATCTTTTCTCTGTGGTGGTGTAAAATTCTGGCTGTAGTAAGGGTATAGAGGTATGTAGTAAGGGTATGTGTAGCATATAATTTTGAAACAATTAAACTTTAAATTATTTCTACAGAGAACACATCCACACCATAATTAGTTTATGCTTTAAATAATTGTTATTTCGCCTACTTCTACCATTTTTAATGACTTTTTTCAGATTGAAAATCTCCAGGAACAACTGAGAGATAAAGAAAAGCAGATGAGCAGCTTGAAAGAGCGAGTCAAGTCTCTCCAGGCGGATACCACCAACACAGATACAGCTCTAACGACCTTGGAGGAGGCTCTTGCAGAGAAAGTGAGTGATTGGCCTGACTCTTCCCAGACCTTTGAGTTCTGCTTTCTTGTTATTCTGAAATTGGCTATAAACACAGGAGCATCCTTTCATGGAGACAGTTCTTTGTTGCTGATGTGCATAGTATAGATAGAAAGACAGGTTAGTTACTGTTGGATGTTAGCACCAACTACTAGGCAAGATTGGTTGCATACCAAAAGGCCATAGTCACATTTCCTAAAGAAACAGCATGTGTTCCCCATTTTGCTGCTTTCTGAAGCAAAAGAAAATTCATCATTTAACAAAATGTGTAGGATACTGGACATTGATTATCAGGATGCTATCCTGGACTAGGTCTCTTCTGTTACCTTCCTATGACATATATGACATGGATTTTATTCATGAATATTACATACTTACTATTTTTCTAGTCTTGGCTTACCCCTAAAATAATTTAAGTTTATTTATTTTTATGTCTCTAGCTGTCTGTGCATCTCATGTGCCTTGTGTCCTTAGAGGCCAGAAAGGACATTGAATTTCCTGGTACTGTAGTTACAACCAGTTGTGGCTGCCATGTGGGCTGGGAATTGAATGTTAGTCCTCTGGAAGAGCAGCCAGTGCTCTTAATCACAGACTCAATCTCATGCAGCCACTTGGCTTGTATTACTTTATTTTACCTTTATGAGCACATTTGACTTTTGAAGGAATGGTTGAATGACGAAGTGCTCTAAACCATCTTAGAAGGTATTTTAGAGAATCTCCTTATGGTGTTTTTGTTTCTTGTTGATCTTTTGTTTGTTTGTCTTTGTTTTTGGATGTGGCTTGTTTTGTGATGGAGGTCTCGTGGGTTAGGCTGGCCTTAGGTTCACAGTGTAGCTCAGTGTATTAGGGTTCTTCAGAGGAACAGAACTTATAAGATGAATCTGCTATCTACCCATTTGTAACAAGAATCTTAAATGGTCTAATTAATAAAAAACTCAGTGCCAACTATTGGGGTAAATTCTACAAGATCAGAGAAACAGAACAAGCCACAGCTAACCTCACCTCACCAACTTCTTAGCTGATCCTGTTTCCTCAAACTAGAAGCCTCTGAATCCTCATCCGAATGGATCTCAGCTGAACTGCTGCTTAAAGCCTAAAAGCTTAAGAGCCTGTAGTTCCTGGTCCTCACACCTTATATACCTTTCTGCTTCCTGCCATCACTTCCTGGGATTAAAGGCTTGTGTCTTTCCCAAGCAATACATGAGATCTCACATGCTGGGATTAAAGATGTGTGTCATCATACCTGGCTGTTTCCAGTGGCCTTGAACTCACAGAGATCTAAATGGATCTCTGCCTCCAGAATGCTAGGATTAAAGGCGTGTGTGCCACCATTTTCTGGTCTCTAGGTCTATCTAGTGGCTGTTCTGTTCTCTGACCCCAGATAACTTTATTAGGGTACACAATATATGGGGGGGGGACACAATATCACCACATCCATCCATCCATCCATCCATCCATCCATCCATACATACATACATACATACATACATACATACATACATCCAGTGGGGTTAGAAAGGCTTACAGACTGTGGTCCAGCTTGTCCAACAATGGCTGTCTACCAATAGAAGGTTCAAGAATCCAGTAGTTGCGAGTTCTCTATTCTGGGTGTCTCAGCTGGTCTTCAGTATATCCTGAAGAAGAAATGAACTTGCTCGTGAGAGAGAGAGCATGCAGGCAAAGAGAGAGCTAGCTTCCGTCCATGTCCTTTACATAGGCTACCAGCAGAAGGAGTGGCCCAGATTAATCTACCTCAAAAGGTCCAGATTAATGGTGTTTTTTCCCACCTCAAAGATCTGGATTAGAAGTGGGTCTTTACACTTCAAATGATTTAATTAAGAAAAAAAAAATCCCTTAATGGTATGCCCAGCCATTTGAGTTTTAGTTAATTCTAGATATAGTTCACTTGACAACTAAGAATAGCCCTTAACACTCAAGGTGTTAAAACTCTTGATCCTCCTA